TAGAGAGAAAGTGAGAAAGCAAGCCACGAGGTCTGGTACTTGAACTGTGGTCATTCATGTGTGGTTCCAGTCCCTTAATCACTATGCTACCTGCTGGCTCCAACAGTATATATTTTAATATACAAGAACATTTTAGTATGTCATGGAGAATATATGTAATTTTAAAGATTCCTATGACAAGTTATTTGTGAGCCAGATTATTTAATAGTAAATTATTATGCCAAAATTAGTTATTAATCATCCATATAATAGTGAGAAGGGACACATATTTTTAATTATGGAGAGTAATGCCTTTGTGACAAACATGATTTTCATGATAATTCAGTGATGATAAAAGTGACTAAATTTATTGAGCATTTACTCTGCATAAGACAATGTTCTCAGAAATTTACATGAACTACCTTATATAATTCCCTAAGCAATTTTATTTATTTTTTTAAATTTTTATTTATTTATTTATTTTTTACATTTTTAAAATACATTTAATCACATTTTTTAGCTTGCAAGGTGATCATTTCAATATGTGAACATTTCTCCCCAGTCCAGTTGATCAAAATATAATAATACTACCTCCCTGTCTCAACAATGCTGTCTCCGTATCCCTCTTCCAAATGTTTTCCCCCAGGCCCCATTCCTCCACACACACCACATCTTGCATTCACACCCAATTTTATTTCTATTATCCAGTTTACATATGAGGAAACTGAGACAAAGAGGAGTCAATATTTGTCAAAGGCCACACAACAATAATGCAGTTGGAATGTTGATGTAAAAAATTTCAAATGAGATTGTAAACATATTCTTAGACCTGGAAGGTTTTATTTATTTTTTAAAATTAACCTCTTCCTAAGGGCCAGCAGGTGACATGGTGGTAAAGGCACTGGACTCCTACACAGCCAACTGCAGTTTGAGTCCTGGACCTGGCAGCTTGGTTTGTCACTTTTCCTTTCTTTTGGTCTGTCTGTGGTCAAATGCAAAAATAATAACAAATAAAATTAAATATATAATTCTTTAAAAAATTAGCCTCTTCCTCTGACATAATTTTTCTCTTCTAGAATCATTAAAATCAATTACCCACCTATCGGGCATAAGTAGCCCTTGGGAACCTGTTTGTATGCCAGTGTGCCGAGCCCCACTGATATTTAGTGGCAACTCCTCAAAGTACTCCAGCATTTGAAAACAGTGTGCTTACATTGGTATTAGAATCATATACATGAGATGTATATGTATATATATCACCTGAGTGTGCATGTGCTTTGAATACAGAGAGAGACAAAGAGTGAGAGAGGGAAGAGCGAGAGAGAGAGAGAAAGTCCCCCAATGGGATGTGGTCGTGCCACAATCCTTTTGACCTCCATCATGTTGGGATTTCATGCTCACAGTGTGTTTTTCAAGCACACTGGGGCTAAGATTCAAACCACCATTGATCATGTGGGATTTGACTACCAATGCACAGTGCTCAATTATCATGTTATGGAATCTGCTCACATGATTATATCTTTATATAAGTTATCTCCACATTATGCAGTTTATACTTTTCATGATGTTATTAAATAATTAACCAACTTCAGAAACTCATATATCACAGGATCTTCTTAACGTAATATGAATTTTCTTAAAAAAACTTTTTTTATGGTCAGAAGAAGATTTCTCATGGCTCCTGCAAACTAGGTATTTCAGGGCACAAGAGAAATGAAGATTTTCTACTGATAATTCAGCCTCCAGCAAACAAGCTATCATGGCAGGAGAGCGAGGCCTTCAGAAAAGGATCCCTCACAGCTCCTGCAAAATAGTCATTTTGCTTGGCACTTGTGCACTGCGTGGTTTTCTATTTTGTGTTTTTTTTTTTTTAAAGAAAAACAATAATTACATTTTTAAAGTTTTTTTTGTCTTTTCCCCCTCTTTCTTTGCTGTTGTTTCTCTTTCTCTTTTTCATTTTCTTTTTTTCTTGTCTCTCCACTCTTCAATATTTATTTAATGTGTTTCTAGATGGATCTAAGGGCACTATAGCTAAACATCCAAATACTATTAGGGTTAAAATATTCCTCAATATCTACTGAATCTGCTGCACCAGTGATCACAATAGAACGGCAAAGAGATTCCAGATCACCTCTTTCTGCTTGCTCCTGAACATTCAGATTGAAGTTCAAGAATTAGAAAGGAACACACCATCCATCAGATGACAAGACATCACTGTAGGACTACAGGAATATGGGAAAGCAAGAAAATACCTCTCCTCCAAGGGAAAAGAATTACTCTTCTTCATCCTCAAGCAGTTCAATGAAAATCATGGAAATGTCCGATAAAGAATTTAGAACATTCATAATGGCAAAGCTAACAGAGAGGGAAGAGAAGAGAGACAATTAACTGCTAAAGAGAAAGGAGAAAGAAGTTCACGAGTTCCAGGTGAGGACATTCTTGCAAGATGTAAAAGAGGAATTTTACACTTTACAAAAGAATCAAACGGAGCTGTTAGAAATGAAGTTTATAATACAGGAAGTCAAAATCTCCCTTGAAAGTATTAAAA